CGAACAAAGCAAAGCGCACGCACCAGTAGAACACCTTCTGCTTCTTCTGCGTGCGGATACACTGGTACTTGAACAGCAGGTCGAGGAACGGCGACTGCACAGACAAAGGAAAGAGCGGGCGTTAGCGTCCACACTTCATGATCACCAGTGCACGGTATCAACGCCATCTGCGCGCGATCAACGCCATCGGCGGGGAGGAGGGGGCACGAGAACGGGCGGTGAATGGGGCGAAGGCACCACCACCACTATTCCCGCGCGATCGGACCTCGCGAGCCGCCCGCGCGGGGGTGCAGACTCCAAGGGGGAGGAACAGATGCGCAGACGCGGGATCCGCTATCCATCATCTGGGCATCCGAGGGGGAACGGACGGCCGGTAGGACGATGGGTATGCACACTGATTGCATGCGAGCGCACCGAGTGTCCGGCAGCAGCGGAATGCACCCCACTGCAGCCCATGCTGATTGCACGCGCGAGTGCGAGCGCACCAAATGCCTCGCAGGGATGCAAACCCCCACCCCCAAACGCAGCGCAGACAGCCTAGCAGACAATAACCAAGGCACGAACGACGCACCTTGGGCTCCTCCAGGCACGCATCGACGCCCGGCTTGAGGTTGCGCAGGTCGCTGAACACGCCCTCCTCGAACTTCTTCATGTTGCGCACGGGCCGCCCGAACGCCTCGAAGCGGAACACGAGCGCGCGCACGATGTCCGTGCCCGTGATGTGGTACAGCCCGCCCCAGAGCACGCAGCTCACGTACTCCTGGTTCGGGAGCAGGAACCGGTTCAGCGCCGGGTGCGTGCTGTGCGGGTGCCCCGCCGGCGCGAGCTGCCCCAGCGCCATCCCGCCGTTCATCCCCGCGTTCATGTTCATGCCCATGCCCATGGCGGCGCCCATGTTGTTGAGGGCCATGCCGAAGGGCGCCGGGGGGACGGCGGTGGACGAGGACGGGTCCGAGTTCCAGCGCGACGGCGCGGTCGCGAGGAAGAACTTGAGCTTGTCGAGGTTGTTCAGCAGCTCGCGCTCCTGCAGCGTCAGCGGGCGGCTCAGCCCGCCGTGCGGCCCCGGCGCGTCCGTCAGGGCATCCGCGATCGACTGCCCCTGCATCTCGGCGTCCACTCCAGCGTTAGGGTACTGCTGCTGCTGCTCGAGGCGGGCCGGGTGCGCAGTCTGCTCGTCGGGCTCGTGCTCGTGCGGCGCCGGGGTCGCGGTCTGGATCTGCAGCGACGGGCTCGCGTGTTGGTGCTGGTACTGGGAGGTCGAGGATGACGACGGGGCCTGCGGGTAGCGTTGGGAGGAGGCGTAGTGGTGATCGTAAGCGTCGGCAGGGTAGGCGTGGGCAGCCGATCGTGAAGAAGACGAGGATGCGGAGGACGATGCGGAGGAGGAGGGTGGGGGGAAGGCGTGCGCGTCGACCTGGATCGCGAACTGGCTGTATGCGGCCGGGTGCTGGGAAACTAGGCTGTCCATTATACGGGGAGTACTCTTCAGAAGGGCGGGTGCGAAAGTGGGGGCCTGCGGACGGGACTGGGGATACAGAGACGAGAGAGAGCGTGCAAGTGGGTGGTGTTGGTGCGCCAACGAAAGGCGGCCTATGTATAACTGCAAACCGGCGGGGGGAACAAGGATGGACGGGGACGCGTCGGGTGAGCACAGGACGATCGGGCGGGAGGAGAAACTGCGGAAATGGACGTACATTACTGTGTGTGCGTGGGGGTCCGCGGAGGACGGGTGAGACAGGTGCACGCGAAGAGCTGGCTCAGGAGGGCGCAGCGAGAGTGACACGGACCTCGGCGGGACAAGCAGACAGCGCAGGGGCCAGGACCCAGGGGTGCGGCTGGAATACTATTATACGGGCACTCGAATGTGGATCGCACGGGCACGGCGGGAGACAAGGGCGGTCGGAGGCGCAGTTGGATCCTGGGGTCGTCGGGCGAGGCCGATCGCGTCGTGGGTGGGCTTGGTGGGTGAGGGGCACGGACGAATTATCAAGCTGAGTAGTAGGGCAGGCAAGATAGGAGGACGTGTGATTTGGACAGGGATTAGAATTAGTAGGGCACACGCTCGACGGCGAGCGGGGCTCTGGGGGTGAGGTAGGGGAACGGGAGACGCGGCGGCGGGACGGAGGGACGGAGGGAGAGGGAGGGACGGGGCAGGGCGACGGCGGAGGGCGAGGTGATTAAGTAAATCTGGCAAGCCTCGCCCCGCGGCGCTCTCCCTTCCAGCTCAACATAGTCGCCCACCCGCGTCCACCACGCTCCCTCCCAGCGCTCCGACCTCGAAAGCGATATCCCAACCGCCTCCAGCTTTTCGCCCGACTCCCCTTTCGCCGGACACGGAGCCCCACGCGTTCCTTTGCACATTCCACGCCCTCCCCTCGACACCGAACGTGCGGGCCAGGCAACACCCGGACCGACGTCAGAGATTCGGGGTCCGCTTGCGGGGGACGTCAGATGCTTCTGGCAGGCAGGCCGGCCGTCCTTCACACCACGGCTGCCCTGGCAGGTCACACAAGAAGCCCGGAGTCGAACAGGATGCGCCGTGAACCTACGCGAGCATGGCAGATCGCAAAGATCCCCGGTCCCAGGCGTAAGTCAAGCTCAGGCCCCGGCCATCCTGCCCTCTGTGCCCTGCCACCGCCCCATCATCATGGCGACTCGCCCTCTAGATCTCATCATCAGCCCGCACACAGCCTCCCGCGCACCCGCCCGATTTGCCCTCGCACGCACGCGCCCATCACACCCACCTCCCATCTCCCG